CACTAAAACCCCCCAAAATTCCTTCATGTTGACCCAAATTCCACAATTCCCTAAAACCGCCCCAAAACGCAGAATTTCCTAAATCCACCCCAAATCCCCTCAGTCACTGTTTGGGGTTTGGGTTCTGTGAGGACATTTGGGGTCAGGGGGATCCCAAAATTCCCCTAAAAGCCCCCAAAATCCTTTCATGTCCCCCAAATCCCACAATTTCCTAAAACATCCAGAATTTCCTAAATTCGCCCCAAATCCCCTCAGTCATTGGGGTTTGGGTCCCATTTTGGGGCTCCCTTTGTTCAGGGGGTCCTCGGGGTTCGGCTCCTGGGGGGGAGGTTTGGGGTCAGAACCCCCCAAAGGAAAACCCCAAAATCCCTTTGGGTCACCCCAAATCCCACAATTCCCTAAAAACCGCTCCAAATCCCACAAATCCCTAAAACCGCCCCAAAACACAGAATTTCCTAAAACCGCCCCAAATTCCCTCAGTCATCATTTGGGGTTTGGGTTCTGTGAGGACATTTGGGGTCAGGGAGATCCCAAAATTTCCATAAAATCCCCGAAAATCCCTTCACGACACCCCAAGTCCCACAATTCCCTAAAATATTCAGAATTCCCTAAATCCGCCCCAAATCCCCTCAGTCATTGGGGTTTGGGCCCCATTTTGGGGCTCCCTTTGTTCAGGGGGTCCTCGGGGTTCGGCTCCTGGGGGGGAGGTTTGGGGTCAGAATCCCCAAAGGAAAACCCCAAAATCCTCTCGGGTCACCCCAAATCCCTGAATTCCCCTAAAAGTGACCCAAATCCCTGAATTCCCCTAAAATCGACACAAAATGCAGAATTTCCTAAATCCGCCCCAAATTCCCTCAGTCGTTGTTTGGGGTTTGGGTGCTGTGAGGACATTTGGGGTCAGAGGCACCCCAAAATTCCCCTAAAAGCCCCAAAATACCTTCATGTCCCCCCAAATCCCACAATCCCCTAAAAACCGCTCCGAAATGCAGAATTCCCTAAAACCGCCCCAAATCCCCTCAGTCATTGGGGTTTGGGTCCCATTTTGGGGCTCCCTTTGTTCAGGGGGTCCTCGGGGTTCGGCTCCTGGGGGGAGGGTTGGGGTCAGAACTCCCCAGAGGAAAACCCCAAAATCCCCTCGGGTCACCCCAAATCCCGGAATTCCCTAAAACCCCCAAAAATCGCTTCATGTCCCCCCAAATCCCACAATTTCCTAAATCCACCCCAAATCCCCCGAGCCCTTGTTTGGGGTCCGGGTCCTGGGGGGACATCTGGGGACAGGGGGACCCCAATATATGGGGGGGGAAACCCCAAAATTCCCTGAAATGCCCCCAAAAACCCTTCCCACCCCCCAAATCCCAGAATTCCCGCCAGACGCCCCAAAAACCCCCCTGGGACCTCCCTGGAGCCCCCCCAGCTGTCCCCAAACCCCCCCAGGTGTCCCCCAAGGTGTCCCCAGGTGTGTCCCCATGTCCCCAGGTGTCCCCAAGCCCCCCAGGTGTGTCCCCAAGGCCACCACGTGCCCCCCACCATGTTCCCAACGCCCCAGGTGTGTCCCCAAGCCCCCCGGTGTCCCCTGTCCCCGGTGTCCCTCACCAGGAACAGGTACTGCAGGCCGTAGATGATGGAGTTGATGGTCAGCACCGGCTTCCAGTCCTCCCTGCGGCACCGCCACGGACACGGTCAGCGGGCAGTGGTCACTGCGGCCACCGCGGCCACCACGGCCACGGACACAGCCAGTGGTCAGCAGGCACTGCGGCCACCACGGCCACAGCCACAGCCAGCGGCCACTGCGGCCACCACGGCCACAGCCAGTGGTCAGCGGTCACTGCGGCCACCGCAGCCACGGCCACAGCCACGGTCAGCAGTCAGTAGTCAGAGGTCAGTGATCAGTGGTCAGAGGTCAGTGGTCAGGGGTCAGTGGGCAGAGGTCAGGGGTCAGCAGGGCCACCACGGCCACCAGCAGGTGGCCACAGCCCCCCCAGGTGTCAATGTTTGGTGGCCCAGCACTGACCTTAAAGCTGAAGACGAATTTGCCGCCCTTGTAGAAACCCTGGGGACAGAAAAATGTCACTGGGGGACACGGGGGACACAGGGACAGGAAGGGACAGAGGGGACAGGGACAGAGGGGACAGGGACAGAGGGGACAGGGGGGACAGGAAGGGACCGTTCCCATCCCATCGGGGCACACGGAGCAAGGGGCCCCACGGAGGCCCCAGGGAGGTGACACAGGGGACAGGAGGTGCCCCAGCTGTCCCCAGGTGCCCCAGGGAGGTGATACAGGTGTCCCCAGCTGTCCCAATGCCACCCAGCTGTCCCCAGGTGTGTCCCCAGCTGTCCCCAGCTGTCCCCATGTCCCCGGGAGGTGACACAGGTGTCCCCAGGTGTGTCCCCAGGTGTGTCCCCAGGTGTCCCCAGGGGTGTCCCCATGTCCCCAGGTGTGTCCCCATGTCCCCAGGAGGTGACACAGCTGTCCCCAGGTGCGTCCCCATGTCCCCAGGTGTGTCCCCAGCTGTCCCCATGTCCCCAGGAGGTGACACAGGTGTCCCCAGGTGTCCCTGACCTCGTCGGGGCAGATGAGCAGGCGGAAGTGCAGCAGATCGTCCTGGTCCGAGAAATCGATCTCGCACGTCTTGGGCAGGTTCAGCTCGTTGATGTCTGGGGACACAGAGGGGACAATGGGGACACTGAGGGGACAATGGGACACTGAGGGACACAGGGACACTGTGGGGCCATACTGGGACTGTACTGGGAATCACTGGGGCCATACTGGGACTGTACTGGGAATCACTGGGGCCATACTGGGACTGTACTGGGAATCACTGGGGCCATACTGGGACTGTACTGGGAATCACTGGGGCCATACTGGAGCCATACTGGCGCCACACTGGGGCCATACTGGGCCCATACTGGGCCATACTGGGCCAAACTGGGCCATACTGGGAATCACTGAGCCATACTGGGCCCATACTGGGACCAGCACCTGACCCCCACTGGTGCCATACTGGGGCGCTCACCAAAGCCCTACTGGAACCAGTATGTGATCCTTACTGGTCCCAGTATGCGCCCCTTACTGGTCCCAGTCTGTGCCCCTTACTGGTCCCAGTGTGTGCCCCTTACTGGTCCCAGTCTGTGCCCCTTACTGGTCCCAGTCTGTGCCCCTTACTGGTCCCAGTATGCGCCCCTTACTGGTCCCAGTATGCGCCCCTTACTGGTCCCAGTGCGGCGCTGCTGGAACCAGTCCCAGCCCCCCCAGGGCCGTTAACGACCCGGCACTGCCGGCCCTGCTGGGCCCAGTCTGCGGCCCTTACTGGGACCAGTTTGGGACCCTTACTGGGCCCAGTCGGTGGCCGTTACTGGCCCCAGTTTGAGGCCCTTATTGGTCCCAGTTTGGGACCCTTACTGGCCCCAGTTCGAGGCCCTTACTGGGACCAGTTGGTGGCTGTTACTGGGATCAGTTTGGGGCCCTTACTGGGACCAGTTTGGGGCCCTTACTGGGACCAGTTTGGGACCCTTACTGGCCCCAGTTCGCGGCCCTGCTGAGCCTGGTTTGGGGCTCTTATTGGTCCCAGTGTGCAGCCCTTACTGGGCCCAGTTTGAGGCCCTTACTGGGACCAGTTTGGGGCCCTTACTGGGACCAGTATGGGGCCCTGCCTGTCCCCAGTTTGAGGCCCTTATTGGCCCCAGTGTCCAGCCCTTACTGGGCCTGGTTTGGGCCCTTACTGGGACCAGTATGGGGCCCTTTCTGGGACCAGTGTACAGCCCTTACTGGGCCCAGCTTGTGGTCCTTACTGGTCCCAGTGTGCAGCCCTTACTGGGCCCAGTCTGTGGCCGTTACTGGCCCAGTATGAGGCCCTTCCTGGGCCCAGTTCGAGGCCCTTCCTGGCCCCAGTTTGTGGCTGTTACAGGGCCCAGCCTGAGGCCCTGCTGGGCCCAGTGTGCAGCCCTTACTGGTCCCAGTCGGTGGCCGTTACTGGCCCCCGTTTGGGACCCTTCCTGGCCCCAGTCTGTGGCCGTTACCGGCCCCACTATGAGGCCCTTACTGGCCCCAGTGTACGACCCTCACTGGCCCCAGTTTGCAGCCCTGCTGGCCCCAGTTTGGGACCCTTACTGGCCCCAGTATAAGGCCCTCACTGGCCCCAGTTTGGGACCCTTACTGGCCCCAGTATAAGGCCCTCACTGGCCCCAGTTTGGGACCCTTACTGGCCCCAGTATAAGGCCCTCACTGGCCCCAGTTTGGGACCCTTACTGGCCCCAGTTCGCGGCCCTGCTGGCCCCAGTTTGGGACCCTTACTGGCCCCAGTTCGCGGCCCTGCTGGCCCCAGTTTGGGACCCTTACTGGCCCCAGTTCGCGGCCCTGCTGGCCCCAGTTTGGGACCCTTACTGGCCCCAGTTCGCGGCCCTGCTGGCCCCAGTTTGGGACCCTTACTGGCCCCAGTTCGCGGCCCTGCTGGCCCCAGTTTGGGACCCTTACTGGCCCCAGTATAAGGCCCTCACTGGCCCCAGTTTGGGACCCTTACTGGCCCCAGTATAAGGCCCTCACTGGCCCCAGTTTGGGTCCCAGTATGTAACCCTTACTGGTCCCAGTCTGTGCCCCTTACTGGTCCCAGTATGTAACCCTTACTGGTCCCAGTGTGTGCCCCTTACTGGTCCCAGTATGTAACCCTTACTGGTCCCAGTCTGTGCCCCTTACTGGTCCCAGTCTGCGCCCCTTACTGGTCCCAGTCTGCGCCCCTTACTGGTCCCAGTGTGGCGCTGCTGGAACCGGTCCCAGCCCCCCCAGCGCCGTTAACGACCCGGCACTGCCGGCCCTGCTGGGCCCAGTCTGCGGCCCTTACTGGGACCAGTTTGGGACCCTTACTGGGCCCAGTCGGTGGCCGTTACTGGCCCCAGTTTGAGGCCCTTATTGGTCCCAGTTTGGGACCCTTACTGGCCCCAGTTTGAGGCCCTTATTGGTCCCAGTTTGGGACCCTTACTGGCCCCAGTTTGGGACCCTTACTGGCCCCAGTTCGAGGCCCTTACTGGGACCAGTTTGGGACCCTTACTGGCCCCAGTTCGCGGCCCTGCTGAGCCTGGTTTGGGGCTCTTATTGGTCCCAGTGTGCAGCCCTTACTGGGCCCAGTATGAGGGGTTTATTGGTCCCAGTTTGCAGCTGTTACTGGGCCCAGCCTGAGGCCCTGCTGGCGCCAGTGTGCAGCCCTTACTGGGCCCAGTTTGAGGCCCTTACTGGGACCAGTTCGAGGCCCTTACTGGGACCACTTCGAGGCCCTTACTGGCCCCAGTGTGCAGCCCTTACTGGGTCCAGTTGGTGATCGTTACCGGCCCCAGTATGAGGCCCTTATTGGTCCCAGTTTGGGACCCTTACTGGCCCCAGTTCACAGCCCTTACTGGCCCCAGTTTGCAGCTGTTACTGGGCCCAGCCTGAGGCCCTGCTGGCCCCAGTGTGCAGCTCTCACTGGGTCCAGTTCGAGGCCCTTACTGGGACCAGTATGAGGCCCTTACTGGCCCCAGTTTGTGGCTGTTACTGGGCCCAGCCTGAGGCCCTGCTGGTCCCAGTGTGCAGCCCTTACTGGTCCCAGTCGGTGGCTGTTACTGGCCCCCGTTTGGGACCCCTCCTGGCCCCAGTCTGTGGCCGTTACCGGCCTCACTATGAGGCCTTTACTGGCCCCAGTTCGCGGCCCTGCTGGCCCCAGTTTGGGACCCTTACTGGCCCCAGTTCGCGGCCCTTACTGGGACCAGTTTGGGACCCTTACTGGCCCCAGTTCGCGGCCCTGCTGGCCCCAGTTTGGGACCCTTACTGGCCCCAGTTCGAGGCCCTTACTGGGACCAGTTTGGGACCCTTACTGGCCCCAGTTCGCGGCCCTGCTGAGCCTGGTTTGGGGCTCTTATTGGTCCCAGTGTGCAGCCCTTACTGGGCCCAGTATGAGGGGTTTATTGGTCCCAGTTTGCAGCTGTTACTGGGCCCAGCCTGAGGCCCTGCTGGCGCCAGTGTGCAGCCCTTACTGGGCCCAGTTTGAGGCCCTTACTGGGACCAGTTCGAGGCCCTTACTGGGACCACTTCGAGGCCCTTACTGGCCCCAGTGTGCAGCCCTTACTGGGTCCAGTTGGTGATCGTTACCGGCCCCAGTATGAGGCCCTTATTGAGTTTGAGGCCCTTATTGGCCCCAGTGTCCAGCCCTTACTGGGCCTGGTTTGGGCCCTTACTGGGACCAGTATGGGGCCCTTTCTGGGACCAGTGTACAGCCCTTACTGGGCCCAGCTTGTGGTCCTTACTGGTCCCAGTGTGCAGCCCTTACTGGGCCCAGCCTGAGGCCCTGCTGGCCCCAGTGTGCAGCTCTCACTGGGTCCAGTTCGAGGCCCTTACTGGGACCAGTATGAGGCCCTTACTGGCCCCAGTTTGTGGCTGTTACTGGGCCCAGCCTGAGGCCCTGCTGGTCCCAGTGTGCAGCCCTTACTGGGCCCAGTCTGTGGCCGTTACTGGCCCAGTATGAGGCCCTTCCTGGGCCCAGTTCGAGGCCCTTCCTGGCCCCAGTTTGTGGCTGTTACAGGGCCCAGCCTGAGGCCCTGCTGGGCCCAGTGTGCAGCCCTTACTGGTCCCAGTCGGTGGCCGTTACTGGCCCCCGTTTGGGACCCTTCCTGGCCCCAGTCTGTGGCCGTTACCGGCCCCACTATGAGGCCCTTACTGGCCCCAGTGTACGACCCTCACTGGCCCCAGTTTGCAGCCCTGCTGGCCCCAGTTTGGGACCCTTACTGGCCCCAGTATAAGGCCCTCACTGGCCCCAGTTCGCAGCCCTGCTGGCCCCAGCTCGCGGCCCTCACCGGCCCCGTGGGGCCCTGCCGGGCCCGCTGCGCGCCCGCCGCCTCCCCTCAGACCTTTCTGGATGCGGAGCTGCGCGGCCGAGGCCTTTTTGCTGGAGCTCTTGGTGCCGCCCGCCGATTCCTCCTCCTTCTTCTGCTGCTTCAGCGAGAACAGCTTGATCATCCTGCCGGGCCGGGGCGGCGGGGCCGGGGCGGGTCCGGGCCCCCCCCGGGGCCGAGGGAGCGGGGCCGGGCCGGGGGCGGCTCCGGGTCGGGGGCTCCGGGGGCGACGGGGGCCGGGGGCGAGCGCTGAGGGCCGGCCGGCTCGGCAACTTCCGGAGCCGCTCGGCAACTTCCGGAGCCGCTCGGCACTCTCCGGAACCGCTTCGCGACCGCTCGGCAACTTCCGGGATCGCTTCGTGAAGCTCCGCAGAGGGCTCGGGGAGCTCCGGAATTGCTTCGGTACAACTTCGGGAGTTTCCGGAAGCGCTTCGGGGGCCTCCGGAGTCGCTTGGCGACTTCCGGAACCGCCTCGAGGATCTCCGGAACCGCTTCGGAACCGTTTCGGAACGGTCTCGGGGCTGTCCGGGGCCGCTCGAAACCTTCCGGAGATCCCCGGAAAGGGGGAGGAGGTTCGGGACTCTCCGGAACCGCTGCGGAACCTCCGGGCAATCTCCGGCGCCGCTTCGTGGGTCTCTGGGGTCGCTTCGAGAACCTCCGCACGGCTTCGGAACCTCTCGGCAAACTCCGGAGTCGCCTGGCAACTTCCGGAGCTGCTTCGGAACCGTTCCGGGGGTGGCGGAACGGCCTCGGGGCCCGCCGGCGCCGCTCGGGAGCCGCTTCCGGAAGCTCCGGAATCGCTTCGGGGATCTCCGGAAGGCAGGGGGAGGGGCTCGGGGGTCTCCGGAAGGGGCGGTTCGGGGCCCCTCGGGAGCTTTCGGGCGGACCCGAGGGCGCTTCGGATTCTTCCGGAAGGAAATCGACTCGTTCCGGCGCTTGGATGCCGCTTCGGCTCTTTCCGGAGCACTTCGGGTCCTTCCGGAACGGGAGGCGGGGCGAGGCGCTCCGAAAAGCGCCGATCTCCGCCCCTCGGCTCTTTCCGGCGGCCGCTGCGTTTGTCTCTCCCGCGCTTCACACTCAGCTCTTTCCGGAGCACTTCGGCTCTCCCCGGCTGCCACCAGCCAATCCTGCGCCGGGGGCGGGGCTCGAGGCCCTTTCTCCCAATGGGCGCCGCCATGTTGCTCAGGGGCGCCGCCATCTTTACGGGCCCGGGGGTGAACTGGGCCCAGTTTCCCCTCCCAGTGCTCCCAGTTCAGCTCAGGGGGCGGGGATGGACGTGGAGGGGCAGCAGGAGGGAAAATGGGGGGCACGGGGTGGATCCAGCCCGGAAATGGGGGAGAACCCAGGAAATGCAAGCAAAAAAATGGGGCAGAATACAGGAAATTCAGGTCAAATCAAGCACTGAAACTGGGGAGAACCCAGGAAATCCCGGCCCCGAAATGGGGCAGAATCCAGGAAATCCAAGCACTGAAATTAGGGAAATTCCAGGAAATCCCAAGCAAAAAAATGGGGCAGAATCCAGGAAATCCAAGCACTGAAATCAGGGAAATTCCAGGAAATCCAAGCCCTGAAACAGGACAGAATCCAGGATATCCAAGCACAGAAATGGGGCAGAATCCAGGAAATTCAGGTCAAATCAAGCACTGAAACTGGGGAGAACCCAGGAAATCCCGGCCCCGAAATGGGGCAGAATCCAGGAAATCCAAGCACAGAAATGGGACAGAATCCAGGAAATTCAGGTCAAATCAAGCACTGAAATTGGGGAGAATCCAGGAAATCCAAATACAAAATGGGGGAAATTCCAGGAAATCCAAGCCCTGAAACGGGGCAGAACCCAGGAAATCCAGGTCAAACCCCGCCCAGAAATGAGGCAGAGCCCAGGAGACCAAGCCAGGGTTTTATTTTCCCAGGTGACCCCCGGCTAAGGGGGGACAGGGACACCCCCACACCCTGGGGGGCTCTGGGGGGAACCAGGACCCGCAGTGGGGGCAAATCGGGGTCCTGGGAGGGGAAATTGGGGTGCTGGGATGGGAGATCGGGGTGCTGGGAGGGGAAATGGGGTGTATCCTGATCCCGTAAACTGATCCCACCCTTTGATCCTGATCCCACCCCGACCCCACCCAATCCCACCCTGATCCTATCCCTGATCCCATCCCAGACGCCCTGATCCCGCCCCTTATCCTGGTACCACCCCTGATCCCACCCATGATTGGGAGGGGAAATTGGGGTCCTGGAAGGGTAAATCGGGGTACTGGGAGGGGAAATTGAGGTCATGGAAGGAGAAATCAAGGTCCTGGACTGGGAGGGGAAATCGAGGTCCTGGGAGGGGAAATCGGGGTCCTGGAAGGTGAAATCGGGGGGCTGGGAGGGGAAATTGGGGTCATGGAAGGAGAAATCAAGGTCCTGGAAGGGCAAATCGAGGTCCTGGGAGGGGAGATCGGGGTGCTGGGAGGTCTTTCACCCCCCAGCAGGGGCAGTCAGGAGCCCGGGGACCCCTCCAGGGCCTCCTCGGGGTCCAGCAGGAGCCTGGAGAACTTCTGGTCGCCGAAGACGGCGCTGAGGCGGCTCTCGAGGAAGCGCTGCAGGCCCAGGATGGACTGCACGTCCGCCTTGTCCTGGGGGGACACGGGCATTCCAGGGGGGCTGGCCACCCCAAAAACCCCCAAAGAGCCGCCCCCGGGGCGCGCAGACCTCGGTGAGGCGGTGGAACTGGCGCAGCAGGCGCCAGCCGTCGCGGGCAAACTCCTCGGGGCTGCGGTAGGGCGGGCTCAGCTTCTCCTGCAGCCGCGCCCGCATCAGCGTCAGGTCCATGGCGTCGCGGCCGTCCTGGGCCCGGCAGCGCCGGCAGCGCGGTCAGCGGGCTGGGCCCGGCCCTGATCCCAGCTGTGATCCCGAACGGGGCTGGGCCCGGCCCTGATCCCAGCCCTGATCCCAAACGGGGCTGGGCCTGGCCCTGATGGGGCAGAACCCAGGAAATCCAGGTCAAACCCCGCCCAGAAATGAGGCAGAGCCCAGGAGACCAAGCCAGGGTTTTATTTTCCCAGGTGACCCCCGGCTAAGGGGGGACAGGGACACCCCCACACCCTGGGGGGCTCTGGGGGGAACCAGGACCCGCAGTGGGGGCAAATCGGGGTCCTGGGAGGGGAAATTGGGGTGCTGGGATGGGAGATCGGGGTGCTGGGAGGGGAAATGGGGTGCTGGGAGGGGAAATCGAGGTCCTGGGAGGGGAAATCGGGGTCCTGGAAGGTGAAATCGGGGGGCTGGGAGGGGAAATTGGGGTCATGGAAGGAGAAATCAAGGTCCTGGAAGGGCAAATCGAGGTCCTGGGAGGGGAGATCGGGGTGCTGGGAGGTCTTTCACCCCCCAGCAGGGGCAGTCAGGAGCCCGGGGACCCCTCCAGGGCCTCCTCGGGGTCCAGCAGGAGCCTGGAGAACTTCTGGTCGCCGAAGACGGCGCTGAGGCGGCTCTCGAGGAAGCGCTGCAGGCCCAGGATGGACTGCACGTCCGCCTTGTCCTGGGGGGATCCCTGCCCTGATCCCTGCCCTGATCCCACCCTGATCCCCCCCAGATCCCCCGGCTCACCGGGGAGCTGCAGAGGCGCTGCAGGGGCCGGCAGGGCTCGTGGCACAGCAGCTCCAGCAGGACGAACTCGCAGCGCTGCGGGGTCGGGGTCAGGGTCGGGGCTGAGATCCCGCGGGAGGGGATCCCACGGGACCGACCCGTCGGGACCGGCCCGGCCTCACCTGCTGGTCCTGGGGGCTCAGCTTGAGGGAGGGGCCCCGCTCCGGCTCCGGGAGCGGCGGGGGCAGCTCCTGGCACAGCAAACACGTCCACTCGGGGCTGCGGGGCGGGAACAGGGTCACAGGGGACACGGGCATTCCAGGGGGGCTGGCCACCCCAAAAACCCCCAAAGAGCCGCCCCCGGGGCGCGCAGACCTCGGTGAGGCGGTGGAACTGGCGCAGCAGGCGCCAGCCGTCGCGGGCAAACTCCTCGGGGCTGCGGTAGGGCGGGCTCAGCTTCTCCTGCAGCCGCGCCCGCATCAGCGTCAGGTCCATGGCGTCGCGGCCGTCCTGGGCCCGGCAGCGCCGGCAGCGCGGTCAGCGGGCTGGGCCCGGCCCTGATCCCAGCTGGATCGAGGTAAAGGGGATCCCCACGGGGCTGGGATCGAGGGATTGGGAACAGGGATCCCCATGGGGCTGCGGGAGTGCAACGGGGTCACGGGGGACAGGAACGGGAACAGGGTCACGGGGGATTGGGAACAGGGATCCCCACGGGGCTGGGATCAGGAACGGGTCACGGGAGGGACGGGAACAGGGTCACGGGGGGCTGGGATTGAGGGATTGCGGATCCCCACAGGGCTGGGATCAGGAACAGGGTCACGGGGGATCGGGAACAGGGTCACCGGGGGACAGGATTGAGGGAAAGGGGATCCCCATGGGGCTGGGATCAAGGGATTGGGGATCCCCATGGGGCTGGGATCAAGGGATTGGGGATCCCCACGGGGCTGGGATCGAAGGAAACAGGGCAGATCCCACCCCTGATCCCAGGCAGGGCTGATCCCACCCCCGATCCCAAACGGGGCAGATCCCACCCCTGATCCTGATCCCGTAAACTGATCCCACCCTTTGATCCTGATCCCACCCCGACCCCACCCAATCCCACCCTGATCCTATCCCTGATCCCATCCCAGACGCCCTGATCCCGCCCCTTATCCTGGTACCACCCCTGATCCCCCCCAGATCCCCCCGATGGATCCCGGCTCACCGGGGAGCTGATCCCAGCCCAGATCCCTGCCCTGATCCCAGCCCTGATCCCACCCCACATCCCAGCTCACCGGGGAGCTGATCCTAGCCCTGATCCCAGCCCAGATCCCTGCCCTGATCCCAGCCCTGATCCCACCCCACATCCCAGCTCACCGGGGAGCTGATCCTAGCCCTGATCCCAGCCCAGATCCCTGCCCTGATCCCAGCCCTGATCCCAAACGGGGCTGATCCCTGCCCTGATCCCTGCCCTGATCCCACCCTGATCCCCCCCAGATCCCCCGGCTCACCGGGGAGCTGCAGAGGCGCTGCAGGGGCCGGCAGGGCTCGTGGCACAGCAGCTCCAGCAGGACGAACTCGCAGCGCTGCGGGGTCGGGGTCAGGGTCGGGGCTGAGATCCCGCGGGAGGGGATCCCACGGGACCGACCCGTCGGGACCGGCCCGGCCTCACCTGCTGGTCCTGGGGGCTCAGCTTGAGGGAGGGGCCCCGCTCCGGCTCCGGGAGCGGCGGGGGCAGCTCCTGGCACAGCAAACACGTCCACTCGGGGCTGCGGGGCGGGAACAGGGTCACAGGGGACGGGATTGAGGGATCGGGGATCTCCATGGGGCAGGGATCAGGAACGGGGTCACGGGAGGGACAGGAACAGGGTCATGGGGGGCTGGGATTGAGGGATCGGGGATCCCCATGGGGCTGTGGGAGCAGAAGGGGTCACAGGGGATCGGGAACGAGGACCCCTGGGAGGCCGAGATTGGGAACAGGGTCACGGGGGATCAGCACCCAGGGATCCCCAGGGCACTGGGACCAGGAACCGGGATGGGAATCCCCATGGGATTGGGAACAGGGTCACGGGGGATCGGGAACAGGGATCCCCATGGGGCTGGGATTGAGGGATTGGGAATGGGAATCCCCATGGGATCAGGAACGGGGTCACAGGGGATCAGCGCCCAGGGATCTCTCCCCTTGGGGCTGGGATTGAGGGACTGGGAATGGGGTCACAGGGGATCAGGAACAGGGATCCCCACGGGGCTGGGATCAGGATCCCATGGGATCAGTGCCCAGGGATCCCCAGGGGTCTGGGATCAAGGGATTGGGAAGGGGTCACATGGGATCAGTGCCCAGGGATCCCCAGGGGTCTGGGATCAAGGGATCGGGAGCAGGATCCCATGGGGTCAGTGCCCAGAGACCCCGGGGGCCTGGGATTGGAATCCCATGGGATCAGCACCTGGGGGCCACTGGGGGTCTGGAATTGGGAATGGGATCTCATGGGATCGGCAGCTGGGGATCCAGGGCTGGGATCAGGATCCCATCGGATCAGTGCCCAGAGACCCCACAGGGCTGGGATCAAGGGATTGGGAAGGGGGTCACATGGGATCAGTGCCCGGGGATCCCCAGGGGTCTGGGATCAAGGGATCGGGAGCAGGATCCCATGGGGTCAGTGCCCAGAGACCCCGGGGGCCTGGGATTGGAATCCCATGGGATCAGCACCTGGGGGCCACTGGGGGTCTGGAATTGGGAATGGGATCTCATGGGATCGGCAGCTGGGGATCCCCATGGGTCTGAGATCAAGGGATCAGGAATGGGATTGAGAATGGGATCGCACAGGATCAGTGCCTGGAGACCACTGGGGATCTGGGATTGAGAATGGGATCTCATGGGATTGGTGCCTGGAGACCACTGGGGATCTGGGATTGGGAATGGGATCCCATGGGATCGGCAGCTGGGGATCCCCGTGGATCTGAGATCAAGGGATCAGGAATGGGATCCCATGGGATCGGTGCTTGGAGACCACTGGGGATCTGGGATTGGGAATGGGATCTCATGGGATTGGTGCCTGGAGACCACTGGGGATCTGGGATCCCAGGGATTGAGGGATCCCAGGGGACTGGGGGATCAGGAATGGGATTGGGAATGGAATCCCATGGGATCAGCACCTCAGGACCCCCATGAGGTTTGGGGTCGGGGGGGATTCCCAGAGAGATCCGGGACAGGAGATCCCAGGATCCAAGAGCTCCCAGCTGATCCACAGGGAGCTGACATTGGAGCCAGGGAGCCAAGCAGGTCCCAGGGGGTGACACAGGACAGTGGATCCTGGGGACATTGGGGGTGGCACAGGGCAGGGGATCCCAGGGACATTGGGGGTGGCACAGGGCAGTGGATCCCAGGGACATTGGGGGACTCGGGGTGGCACGGGGCAGTGGATCCCAGAGACATTCAGGGGTGACACAGGACAGTGGATCCCAGGGACATTGAGGGGTGGCACGGGGCAGTGGATCCCAGGTCCCAGGGAGGTGACACGGGGCAGTGGATCCTGGGGACACTGGGTGACTCAGGAGGTGACATGGGGCAGTGGATCCTGGGGACACTGGGTGACTCAGGGGGTGGCACAGGGCAGTGGATCCCAGGGACACTGGGTGACTCAGGGGGTGGCATGGGGCAGTGGATCCCAGGGACTCGAGGGGTGACACAGGGCAGTGGATCCCGGGCCCAGGAGGTGACACGGGGCAGGGGATCCTGGGGACACTGGGTGACTCAGGGGGTGACACAGGGCAGGGGATCCCAGGGACATTCAGGGGTGACATGGGGCAGGGGATCCTGGGGACACTGGGTGACTCAGGGAGATGACACGGGGCAGGGGATCCCAGGGACACTGGGTGACTCAGGGGGTGGCACGGGGCAGTGGATCCCAGGGACACTGGGTGACACAGGGGGTGACACGGGGCAGTGGGTCCCGTACCTGGGCACGTCCTGCAGCGCGGGCAGGTGGCAGTGCAGGTGGAAGCAGCGCTGGCAGCGGTCACACATCACCACGGCCCCGGCCTGGCCGCACACGCGGCAGCACGAGACCCCCGGGAGCCCCCCCGGGACCCCCGGGAGCACCCCCGGGACCCCTGGGAGCACCCCCGGGACCCCCGGGAGCGCCGGGCCAGGGGAGGAGGCCGGGGCAGGGCCCGGCTCCCCCGGGGCAGGCGGCAGCAGCCCCACGGGTTTGGTGTCCCCGGTGTCCCCGATGAGCGACTCCTGCTGCTCCTCCTGCAGGGGGGACAGGGACAGGGGATGGGGACAGGGACAGGGGACACAGGGACAGGGACAGGGACAGAGACAGGGACAGAGGATGGGGACAGGGACAGGGGACAAGTTCAGGGACAGGGGATGGGGGACACGGGACAGGGACAGAGGACACAGGGACAGGGGACATGGTCGGGGACAGGGGACACAGGAACAGGGGACACAAGACAGGGACAGGGGACACAGGGACAGGGTCAGGGACTAGGGACACAGGCAGGGGGGACACAGGGACAGGGACTGGGGGACACTGGAGAGGGTGGGGAGGGGACACACAGGGTGGGGAGGGACACTGGGGACACTCACCTGGGTGGGGACAGAGACTGGGGACAATGGAGGGGACACGGGGGTGACTCACCTTGACAAGGAGGGCTCCGTGCGGCTGCGCTGTCTCCGCTGTCCCCTCTGTCCCTGGTGTCCCCTCTGTCCCTGGTGTCCCCTCTGTCCCCGGTGTCCCCGCTGTCCCCTCTGTCCCCGCTGTCCCCTCGGGCCCCGCGGCGCCCTGCTCGATGACGATGAGGCTGAACTCCTGGGCCGAGGGGCCCGGGAAGATGCGGAACACGGGCGGCTGCGCCGGGTCCAGCTCCAGGTCCAGCTCCAGGCGCTCCAGGCTCACCCGCGGCTGCTTCGGGAGCCGGGGCCCGCGCGGGGGCTCGGGGGGGCCCCTCCTGGGGACAGCGGGGTCAGGGGGGGACCCCAAAACTCTGGGGGGGGAGGTTCCAGGAGATCAGGGGGATGGGGGTCACTGGGAACTCTGGGACAGGGGGACAGGGACAGTGACAGGGCTGGGACAGGGACAGTGACAAGGCTGGGGACAGGGACAGTGACAAGGCTCAGGGTGTTGGGGACAGTGACAGTGACAAGGCTCAGGGGTGCTGGGGACAGGGACAGTGACAAGGCTGGGGACAGGGACAGGGACAGTGACAAGGCTCAGGGTGTTGGGGACAGGGACAGTGACAAGGTTGGGGACAGGGACAGTGACAGTGACAAGGCTCAGGGTGTTGGGGACAGGGCAGGGACAGGGACAGTGACAAGGCTCAGGGTGTTGGGGACAGGGACAGTGACAAGGTTGGGGACAGTGACAGTGACAGTGACAAGGCTCAGGGTGTTGGGGACAGGGACAGTGACAAGGCTGGGGACAGGGACAGGGACAGTGACAAGGCTCAGGGTGTTGGGGACAGGGCTCCTGGCACGGGGGGACCCCAGGCCAGGGGACAGGGACGTCCTGGCCAAGGGACAGGATGGGAGGGGCTGCAGGTGGCCCTGGCCAGGGTGACAGGTGACAAGGGACACAGGGGGGCCAGGGTCCCTCCCCCACGCTCTAATTACCGCTTAATGAGCAGCTTCTTAACGAGCTTCTCCTCCCGGGGGGAACTGCTGGGGTTCCTCCTGCACAACGGGACAGGGACAGGGACACATGTCACCTCTGGGATAGGGGACACGTGTCAGCCCTGGGACAGGGGACAGATGTCACCCCTGGGACAAGGGACACACATCACCCCTGGGACAGGGGACACATGTCACCGTGTCACCTCTGGGACAGGGACACATCACCCCTGGGACAGGGGACACGTGTCACCCCTGGGACAGGGACACACGTCACCCCGGGGACAGGGGACACATGTCACCTCTGGGACAGGGGACAGATGTCACCCCTGGGACAAGGGACACATGTCACACCTGGGACAGGGGACACATGTCACCTCTAGGACAGGGGACAGGGGACAGATGTCACCTCTAGGACAGGGGACACGTGTCACCCCTGGGACAGGGGACACCATGAGGGTGACAAGGGACAGCGGGAAGCAGAGGGGGTGACAAGGGACAGGAGGAACTGGGCTGGGGGTGACAAAGGACAGGGAGTCCCTGGGGTGGCAGGGGGTGACAGGGGACAGGGAGTCCCGGGGGTGACAGGGGACAGGGACACCCCACACTCACGTCCTCTCTCCGGTGACACCATTCTCAGGGCTGGTGGCTGGTGACAAATGCCACATCAGGGACTTCCTGTGGGTCCCCTCCCCTGTCCCCCTCCCTGTGTCTCCATGTCCCCTTCCCTGTCCCGTGTCCCCCTCCCCGTCTCCATCCCTTGTCCCCCTCCCCTGTCCCCATCCCCTGTCCACTCCCATGTCCCCATCCCCGTGTCCCCTCCCATGTCCCCCTGTCCCATCCCCTGTCCCCTGTCCCCTCCCGTGTCCCCTCCCATGTCCCCATCCCCCTGTCCCCTCCCCTGTCCCCTGTCCCCTCACCCAGCTCGGGGCTCGGGGCCGCCGCGGGCTCCAGGGGGGGAGGTGACAGCCGGAGGGGAGGTGACAGCTGGGGGGGAGGTGACAGCGGGGGGGGACCCTGCAGGAGCAGCTCGGGTGTCACCTGTCCCCCGGTGACCACGGTGGCCTGGGGGTGGCCCTGCAGGACACCGGGGGGAGGGGACGTCACAGGGGTGGGGACATCGGGGGTGGCACCCCCAGAATGTCCCCTCAGGGACCTGCGGAGACATCGGGGAGGGGTGGGGACATCACGGGGGAGGGGACACCACACTGTCACCCCCTCCCTGTCACCCCCTCCCTGGGTCCCCCTGTCACCGCCACCCTCACCCCTCCTGTCCTTTGTCACTCCATGCCCTTGTCCCTTGTGTCCCTGTCCCCTGGCTGTCCCAGCTGTCCCCAGTGTCCCAGCTGTCCCCAGTGTCCCTGTGTCCCCCCTGTCCCCAGTGTCCCCGTGTCCCAGCTGTCCCCAGTGTCCCAGCTGTCCCCGTGTCCCCAGTGTCCCCGTGTTCCCAGTGTCCCCGTGTCCCTGGTGTCCCCAGTGTCCCCGGTGTCCCCGTGTCCCTGGTGTCCCCAGTGTCCCCATGTCCCCAGCTGTCCCCGGGGTCCCCCAGCTGTCCCCAGCTGTCCCCAGTGTCCCCATGTCCCCGTGTCCCCAGTGTCCCCAGCTGTCCCCAGCTGTCCCCAGGCGTGTCCCTCACCGAAGCTGCGGGCGCTCCGGGTCCATCCCTGCAGGTCCCACTGGAAGCGCAGCTCCCCCTGCGGCTCGGGGGGCTCCAGGGGCACCCCCAGGGCCCCCAGCAGCTGCGCCTGCACCTGGGGACACAGGGGACATCGGGGACATTGGGGACATCAGGGACCCCCAGGGCCCCCGGCAGCTGGGCCTGCACCTGGGGGGGACATTGGGGACACTGGGGACATCATGGAGGAGAAAATGGGGCTGGCCCCACTCTGAGGGCCAGGGCCCCCAGCAGCTGCGCCTGCACCTGGGGACACAGGGGACATCGGGGACATTGGGGACATCAGGGACCCCCAGGGACCCCAGGCACCCCCAGGGCCCCCAGCAGCTGCGCCCGCACCTGGGGGGGACATTGGGGACACTGGGGACATCATGGAGGAGAAAATGGGGCTGGCCCCACTCTGAGGGCAGAGTCGCAGCCACAAAGGTCCCCAAGTGTCCCCAAGTGCCACCCCTCCCTCGGGGGTCCGCACCTGGGGGGGACATTGGGGACACTGGGGACACAGGGGACAGTGTGGGGACACAGGGGACATCATGGAGGACAAAATGGGGCTGGCCCCACTCTGAGGGCAGAGTCGCAGCCACAAAGGTCCCCAAGTGTCCCCAAGTGCCACCCCTCCCTCGGGGGTCCCTTGGGTGTCCCTGGGGGTCCCCGGGGGGTCCTTGGGGTGTCCCTGGGGTGTCCCTGGGGGTCCCTTGGGTGTCCCTGGGGTGTCCCTGGGGGTCCCTTGGGTGTCCCTGGGGGTCCCTGGGGGTCCTTGGGGTGTCCCTGGGGGTCCCTGGGGTGTCCCAGGGCCCCCAGCAGCTGCGCCCGCACCTGGGGGGGACATTGGGGACACTGGGGACACAGGGGACAGTGTGGGGACACAGGGGACATCATGGAGGACAAAATGGGGCTGGCCCCACTCTGAGGGCAGAGTCGCAGCCACAAAGGCCACAAGTGTCCCCAAGTGCCACCCCCTCCCTAGGGGGTCCCTGGGGTGTCCCTGGGGTGTCCCCGGGGGTCCCTGGGGTGTCCTTGGGGTGTCCCTGGGGTGCAGCCCCCTCACCGGCCTCCTGGAGAGCAGCAGGGCGGTGCCGTGGGGGGGGAAATGGGGAGAAATGGGGAAAAAATGGAGAGAAACTGGCAGAAATGAGGGGAAAATGGGGAAAAATGGGGGAAAAGGGGGAGGAATGGGGAGAAATGGAGAAAAATGGGGGAAAACAGGGAGAAAATGAGGGAGAACAGGGAGAAATGGGGAGAAAATGGAGCCGAAAGTGGGGCTGGCTCCATTCTGAGAGCACAGAGTCCCAGCCACAAAGGTCCCCAAGTGCCACCCCTCCCTCGGGGGTCCCTTGGGTGTCCCCGGGGTGCAGCGTGTCCCCAAGTGCCACCCCTCCCCCGGGGGTCCCTTGGGTGTCCCCTGGGGGTCCCCGGGGTGCAGCCCCCTCACCAGCCTCCTGGAGAGCAGCAGGGCGGTGCCGTGGGGGCCGCGCAGCGCGCGCGCCCCGAAGCGCAGCACGTGCTCCTGCAGCCGCTGCGCCCGGCCCAGCGCGCGCTGCTGCCGCTGCAGCCGCTCCTGCCGGCCCTCGGTGACGCGCTGCGGGGACACGCGGGGACAGCGCTGTCACCGCGGGGTGGGTGACACGGGGACGGGGAGAGGAGGGCGCCGGGCTCACCTGGACGTCGCCCACCAGCGCCTTGGCGCGCTTGTTGAGCTCCTTCATGATCTGCAGGATGGCGAGCTTCACCTCCACCTGCAGGCGCTTCTGCGCGTCCGTGCCGCGGCGCATGCTGCGCGGGGGACACGGCGCATGGAGGGGACATGCGGGGACACGCGGGGACACGGGGGGACATGCAGGGGGACACGGGGGGGCACCCACAAGGCGCGCAGCTCCTTGGTGCGGCGCTGCAGCGCGGCGTGCTTGTCGGCCAGGCGCTGCAGCAGCGCCGACAGCACCGAGCGCTGCTGCCGGACGGCGTCGGCCAGCGGCTGCGAGCTGGGAACATGGGGGAAAATGGGGGAAAAAATAGGGAAAATGGGGGAATGGGGGGAAAAAATGGGGAAAATGGGGGAAAAGGGGGGAAATAGGGAAAATATGGGGAAAACATGGGAAAAACATAGGAACAACATGGGGGAAACATGGGAAAAATGGGGAAAACCATGGAGGATATGGGGGCAAACGGAAAATGGGGGGGAAAGGGAGAAAAACATGGATGGAAATGGGAAAATTGGGGGAAATGGGGAGGAACATGGTGGAAATGGGGGAAACAGGGGAAAAACATGGGAAAATCATGGGGGAAAGATGGGGGAAACGGAGGGGAAAGGGTTGGAGAAATGGGGAATGTTGGGGAAAATGCAGAGAAAATGGGGGGAAACATGGGGGGAATAGGAAAAATGGGGAGAAACATGGGAGAAATGGGGGAGAATGGGGGAAATGGGGAAAAATAGGGAAAAACAGGAGAAAAATAGAGGAGAAATGGGGGAAAGGAGGGGAAAATGGGGAAAAATGGGGAAAAACAGGAGAAAAAAAGGAGAAATGGGGGAAATGAGGGGAAAATAGGGAAAAGCATGGGGGAAAAGATGGGGGAAATGGGGAAATCATGGAGGAAAGGGGGAAGAACAGGGGGAAAATGGGGATAAATGCAGATAATTGAGGGAAAATAGGGAAAAACATGATGAAAATGGGGGAAAATGGGGGGGAATCAGGAGAAATGGGGAGAAAAAAGGGGAGAAATGGGGGAAATGGGAACAAATGGGGAGAAAATGGAGAAGAAAATGAGGAAAAAGAGAAGGGAAAAGGAAAAAAGGGGGAGAGGGGAAAGAGGTGGGGAAAAAGTAGGAAAAGAGGGGGAGGGAAAAGGGGAAAGGGATAGAAAGGGAGAACAAAACAGGGACAAAAAGAAGAATAAAATAAAAAAAAAGAAGGGAAAGGAAAAATGGGAAAAGGAAGGAGGGGTAAGGAAAAAAGGGAAAGGAAAAAGGGAGGAAAAAGTGGAAGAAAAGGGGGAGAGAAAAGAAAAATTAAGCTTATTAGCTCATTACCCATTAACAAGCTAATTAATCCTCATTAGGCATCAATTATCTAATTAACTCAGTTAGGAGATTAAGGGTTTTTAGTTAACGAGACGTCCCAGGTAACAGATTCTCTCATTTAACCCCTAATTACATTAATTCAATTAGATCTTACTCAACAAAAGTGCTTCTGATGCCACTAATGACCACGTAAGTGAACTAATTAATGAGGTAATCAAGCTAATTAAAGATGTACTCAGCTAAGCAATCAAAGCAGTTATTGATTCCCCAACAAGTTTAACCAATAAAAAACAGCAAAACCATAAATAAAACTCAACTAAGATTGATTAAAAATAATTTAAGCAACCAATTACCTTGTTAATTGATTAGTGACTAATTAGCTCTCTCCAATTTGAGCCACATCCCCTCTGATAATTAATTCCCACCTTTCCCAACCCTTCAGCACCTCCCAACTAACGAGCTTTAATAAAATCAGTAATAAACTTGGTAATTAAATCAGTGATAGAATCAGAATTTAAATCAGTAATAGAATCAGTAATTGAATCAGTAATCAAATCAGTAATTGAAACAGTAATAAACTCAGCAATTAAATCAGTAATTGAATCAGTAATAAACTCAGTAATTAAATCAGTAATTGAATCAGTAATAAACTCAGTAATTAAATCAGTAAATGAATCAGTAATAAACTCATAAACAAACTCAGTAATAAAATCAAGAATAGAATCAGTCGTTAAATCAAATCAGTAATTGAAACAGTAATAAACTCAGTAATTAAATCAGTAATTGAATCAGTAATACACTCAGTAATTAAATCAGTAAATGAATCAGTAATAAACTCATAAACAAACTCAGTAATTACATCAGCAATTGAATCAGTAATAAACTCATAAACAAACTCAGTAATAAAATCAAGAATAGAATCAGTCGTTAAATCAGTAATTAAATCAATAATAGAATCAACAGTAAAATCAGTAAAAAATCAGTGATAAAATCAGTGACTAAATCAGTAATAGAATCTGTAACAAATCAGTAATTAAAGAAGTAATTAAGTCAATAATAGAATCCATAATAAAATCAATAATTAAATTAATAATTAAATCAGTAACAGAATCAGTAATAACCTATAATAAACTCAGTAACAGTACCAGCAATAAAACCAGTAATAAACTCAGTAATAGCATCAGTAATTAAGTAATCAACTGAGTAACAAACTCAATCATAAAACCAGTAATCAAACCAGCAGCTAATCAACAAGAGTAATTAACCAGCAGGCCAACTCTAGGTGTTTTCCAGTAATTAATCAGCCTCATTAACTAATTAAAGCCACCTCCAAGGGCGGCCCTGCTGAGCAGCTGCCCTTGCGTTAAGCCCCTTGGGGTGGCTGATTGCCCTGGCGCTAATTAATTAGCGCTGAGGAGGCGGGGGCAGTGTGCTGATTAGCGCTAATTAGCTAATGAGGCGGGGCACTCACGGGTGCTGCAGGTGCGGGCCCAGGTGGCACTCGTGGCACGTCAGGGCGTCACAGGCGCTGCAGAACAGCGACAGCGGCTGCCGCGGGTGCGCCGGGCACGGCCCCGGGCACGCGCCGGGAACGGCACCGGGAACGGCACCGGGAACGGGACCGGGAACGGCGGGAGAGCCTGGGGAGAGACGGGAATGGGAGATTGGGAATGGGAACGGGGGAAATAGGAGGAACTGGGAAATTGGGAATGGGGAAGGGGAATGAGAATGGGAGAATGGGAATGGGGGAAATAGGGGAATGGGAATGGGGGAAATAGGGGGAATAGGGGAATGGGGGAAATAGGGGGAATAGGGGAATGGGAATGGGGGAACTGGGGGAAGAGGGGAATGGGAATGGGGGAATTGGGAATGGAGATGGGGAACTGGGGGAAGAGGGGAATGGGGATGGGAATGGGGGAAATAGGGGAATGGGAATGGGGGAAATAGGGGGAATAGGGGAATGGGACTGGGGACTGGGGAATGGGGATGAGGGAATGGGAATGAATTGGGACTGGGGGTATGGGGGAATTGGGAAATTGGGAGCGGGAAAATGGGAATGGGGGAATTGGGAATGGGAAACTGGGAATGGGAATGGGGGAATTGTGAATAGGGGAATGGGAATGAGAACATGGGAAGGAGGGAATGGGGGAATGAATGGGGGAATGGGGATGGGAAGGGGAATGAGGGAATGGGGATATGGGGATGGGGAAATGGGAGCAGGAGACTGGGAATGGGGGAATGGGAAACTGGGAGTGGGGTGGCACCAGGGATGGCACCAGGGATGGCACCAGGACGGATCTGCTGACAGGGTCAGCACCCGGTAACGGGCACGGACAGGGGGTGACGGGGAGGTGACACAGGTGACAGTGACAACACTCACCCAGACAGGTGACGGGGGGTGACACAGTGACAGCACTCACCCAGACAGGTGACAGGGGGTGACACAGGTGACACAGTGACAGGAACAGGAATGGGAATGGGAATGGAAGAATGGGAATGGGGGACTGGGGAAATTTGGAATGGGGAAATAGGAATGGGGGAATGGGAGAATGGGGAATGGGGATGGGAACAGCGAATGGGAACGGGGGAATTGAGACTGGGGGTATGGGGGAATTGGAACGGGAACATGGGAATGGGGGAATTGGGAGTGGGGGAATGGGAGAATGGGAATGAGAATGGGAATGGGGGAATTGGGAATGGGAAACTGGGAATGGGAACAGGGGAATTGGGAATGGGGGAATGGGAATGAGAATGAGAACATGGGAAGGAGAGAATGGGGGAATGAATGGGGGAATGAATGGGGGAATGGGGATGGGCGAATGGGGGAATGGGACTAGGAACGGGGGGCTGAGGATGGTGGCTCGGCGCACTCCAGGCAGAAGCTGGTGGCCGCCGCGTTGTCCTCGCAGCTGGTGCAGCTCTGGGGACAAGGGACACGCTGGGCAGGACATCCCTCAGCCCCAGCCAGGGTTGATTAGCGGTAATTAGCGCTAACGAGGCGGTACCTGCCCGCTGGGGGCAGCCGGGCTGGCCTGCAGGAACAGGTTCTCCATGATGTCACCGTGGGGACACTGCTGGTGGCACACGGGGCACTCGAACACTGCGGGGCACAGAGGGGACAGGGTCACCTCCTTGTCACCTCCCTGTCACCGAGGCTGGCTCGTCACTGGGCAGCCCCTGAAGGAGCCCCAGGGCCACCACGGCCACTGAGGCCACCTCAGGGAGGTCCTGGAGCCACCAGAGCCCCCCAGGGAGGGGACAATGGTGTCCCCAGGGAGGGGACAGTGCCACAGCAGGGTCACAGTGTCCCTGGGATGGGGACAGTGCCACAGCGGGGTCACAGTGTCCCCAGGGAGGGGACAGTGCCACAGCAGGGTCACAGTGTCCCCAGGGAAGGGACAGGGGTGTCCCATCCCCACAGAGCTCCCAGGAACTCCTGGAGCAACCCAGTGCCCCCAGTAACCCCCAGCGATCCCAGCACCTCCCAGTAACCTCCAGTAACCCCCAGTGTTGTCATTAACCCCCAGCGTTCCCAGTTCCCCCAGTGCTCCCAGTTCCTCCAGTGTCCCCAGTACCTCCCAGTAACCCCCAGTACCTCCCAGTAACCTCCAGTAACCCCCAGTGTTGTCACTAACCCCCAGCGTTCCCAGTACCCCCAGTGCTCCCAGTTCCTCCAGTGTCCCCAGTAATCCCCAGTGCTCCCAGCGTTCCCAGTTCCCCCAGTGCTCCCAGTAACTCCCAGTATCTCCCGGTAACCCCCAGTGCTCCCAGTAACCCCCAGTTCCCCCAGTGCTCCCAGTACGCCCCAGTTCCCCCAGTGCTCCCAGTTCCCCCAGTATGCCCCAGTTCCCCCAGTGCTCCCAGTACGCCCCAGTCCCTCCCAGCAACCCCCAGTGCTCCCAGTAATCCCCAGTGCTCCCAGTAACCCCCAGCGTTCCCAGTAACCCCCAGTACCTCCCAGCAACCCCCAGAGCTCCCAGTTCCCCCAGTACGCCCCAGTTCCCCCAGTACCCCCCAGTTCCCCCAGCTCCCCTCACCGCTGCCGTCCCCGGGGGCGGCTCCGGGCGCGGCGCCGAGGCAGCGGCGGCACACGGAGTGCAGGCAGGGCAGCAGGCGCGGCTCGCGCTGCGGGCTCAGGCGCTGCCGGCAGGCGCCGCAGAGCTCCAGCAGCCCCGGCGGCTCGGGCCGCTCC